CAATGAATCTCAAATTCGAATTTGGTACTATTTAGAGTCATAATAATTTTACAAAACATAAATGAATAAGAAATGAAAACATGAAATGAATAAAAATACAAAAAAATAATGAATAAAAGGTTGTGATTCTACTGGAGAAGGAATACATCTACATTGGTAACTGGTACTATTGATCATTAAATTAGATCATACTGCTAGTTAAATACATAACAATACAAACTATAGTTCATGTGTATTGATTTCATGGATCTTTCTACTGATGTTAGTCTTTTACGATATATGTATATTCTGTGTGGATTGCCTGGATATTGTGTGTTTCATCCTACTTCGGATGCACCATCTAGGTTCACTTCTAACGTGAGAGCAGTTGATGTGAAGAGTGCTCGATTTAAGTCCCGAAGTGAATATCAACTCCTGGATGCAGGTACATCCAACTTACTTACTTACTTGCTTATGCCTGTTATCCCCAATGGAGTATAGGCCGCCCACCAGTTTTCTCCAACCAACTCTGTCCTGGGCTTCCTTCTCCAGTTCTGTCCAGTGTTTGTTCATTCTTCTCATATCTTTCTCTATTTCTCGGCGTAATGTGTTCCTTGGCCTTCCTCTTTCCATTTTGCCTTGATGGTTCCATATGAGGGCTTGTCTTGTGATGCAATTTGGTGCTTTTCGTATTGTGTGTCCTATCCACTTCCACCGCTTCTTCCTGATTTCCTCCTTCACTGGAATCTGGTTTGTTCTCTCTTAGCTGATGGGTATCAAATAGGACGAAACAAGAGTCCTGGATTCCATTGCTAGTTATCATGTATGCTTGATTATAATTTATGTTAGTTAAGTACAATAAATAACTGAAACATCGTTAGTAGTTGTTCTTTTCATCCCTATATAAATACAATGCTTCATAATTTAAAAAAAAGGATTCTCATAGAACAAAATAAACAGTAAATTTTCTATACAAAGTCAACAAATCGTACAAAATTAAACACAAAAGCATTGGTAAATATAAATAAAGATAAGATTTATGTTAGTATTTTCATAAAACATTAAATCTTTGAAAAATTTCTTCTTAACAAGTTATAAGTAACATACTGACAGTAAATTTATCTGTAAGGGACTGTGATGAAATGTGGACAATAACATTACTACTTAAACCAAGGGGTGAATAAAATCAAAGAGAGTGGTCACCATCTATTCAAACACATCTGTATGACACACTTGCATTCAACAATACATTTACAGTCATGATATATTTTGTAAATTCTCATTCAGTAGTACAAACAATGTAGCGGCATTTTCAAACAAATCTAATCTCTATCCTTTGTTCATCATCATCACTCAATATCATTGTTGCTCACACACTCCAACAGTGTTGACAAGAGTAGAGAAAAAAAACGAGAATAGGTTAAAAATAGTAAGGAATGGTGTGATGAAATAAAGCTTACTATAACATGAATGATGTTTCACATATATAAAGCTCTCAATTTGAAGTATGTTTTGTTTGAAGTACACTTTACTTAATATTTTACTATCATTTTGTTTATTTATTTACTGATAACATGTAAATTAGAAAAAATGTTATGGTTGTTGTTCAAACAATAAGAATGTATCTTTGTGTTCAGAACTCTTCTAATACTTTACATTCTATAGATGGGGTGGATAATTCCATTGATGTAGCACTCCTCGAGTCACTTGGATAATTCGAGAGCTCCTTTTTTCGTTTGTATAAACTTCAGTAACATTTTCTGAATGAACATGTTCGAAAAAATCAAAAAATCCAAATGGATTAGACATTTAAGTCACAGCACATGAGGCACTCACGAGTCTAATGAATATTGATGAATTATCATTGGAAGAAGGAACTAACACCGTACACAAAGCATTCTTAAACGTCTACGCATTTTCAATACACATACATCACTCATAAACCTTACACCATCATAACTTCAAACTATCCAATACATCTCCTCTCAGACACATTTAATTGAAAACTGTCTATGCTTTCACTATGAAGTAGTCAGATAGAAGTTTCTGAAAGAACGAAGTGATAAAACACTCTACACCCACCACTTATCAGAAGACAGATACTGGTTTTGATGTTAGCATAGTATTGATTTCTGCCAAAGGCCAACCTGGGAACTGCGATCGGTGAAAGCATTTGAAATTCGCAGTGCCAAAACCACAAATCAGCAGCCATATGTAGATTAGAAATATGCAGAAGCTAATTATGATCCGCTGTTTCCTATTTCAAATCACTCTATTTTACATTAACTGATCCCCTTACAGTTGTTCGAACTCACTATAATTCTCCTCAATACTATTATATCACATTCAGCAATCTGTCCTAATATCAACTATAATCCAACTGCATATTAATCTGGTTGACTCGTTCCGATCGTTATTACTGATAATGAGCATGTTATTCAGTAGTACTGGAAATGGAGATAATAATCAACCTGTTTCCTTGTTGCATGTTCACATTTCATATTCACTCAATATGTATGCATCAATGTCCTCAGTATGTTCATTCACAGTGTGATATGATGTTTCCAGGTCATACATAACATTATCATCATTATTTGTATATGGTTGTTAACTGTAAAGATGTCTATTTGTTGTTTTGTTTGTATGCATAATGAAATAATTAGTTATAGAAAAAAAAAGAGAACGTGACAAAAGAATATAACTACAATAGGGAACAATGAGGAAAGACTGTTTTTGTACTTCTTATCCTTTAATAGAAAAAGTGAACTATTCAACAGGATAAACTTATTTAAATAGAATGTTATTAAATGATCTGGACATTATGCTGTATTTTTTAATGATTGACAAATGTTTAAGTTGAATGTTATTATCGGCTTTTCTTTATTTCAGACTGACGATTCGAGTAGGAGTCTCATCAATGAATGACCAGAATTTATTTCATAAAGCTAGCAAGTTATTACCATCTCTCCCAGTAAGCTTACAAATCCTAAAATTATCTTTAAACTAGTTGTGATAATTGAACTATCATGGTTATTATTCACAATAAGAATGATTATTAATTACTGTCATACGTAAAATTGACCGAAGTGATGATTTTGATTATATAACTAGTACAAAATAGCACTGCACTAGTGAATAATCTTTGTTAGTTACATAACTGAAGCCTGAACTGTGTTTCATATTACTAGGCAATACATTTCAATGAGCAAAATACCAGATCACGTAGTTTTATGCAACACAAAGCAATTGAGAAAAAACAAATGCAGATTTTATCATATTACTATTAGTATTTTTCTAAACACTAATTTCTTATTTTACTCATCTCTGAACACATGATGAATCGCTATGTTATTAGAAGAAAAAATTGAAAGCCAACTTATTTTCCCTTGAAATGACACCCACACGCACACATACACATTGACTCTTGACGTAATCCTAGATTGAAAAACATTATTGATAGAAAGTTTTCAAACTTTTCATATTCTAACTGACTGACCATTCTCGAACAATGATACATTTCACTTAGATCTTGTTTCATTTTCAATTCATGTTGATAGATATTTAAATTGATTTTCACTAATCTAGCTCTTGTAGTTGATCGACAAATTACATTTAGAAATTCAATACAAAAACTGTACTGTCTCTTTAGTTTAGAAAAATATTTTTTTTTGGGGTGTCATTTTCATTTTACTTTCTTTCATAAACTTTCATAAACTTATAAAAATAGGTAAAACAAAAAAACAAAAACAGACAGGAGATTTTGATGCTCTAACAATTTTTGTGAACTTGGCACCATACTATAAATCAATTGTCCATAATGATCCAAGACAAAATAAAATTATTCTAAATGACGATGTAATTGAATTTTTTTTTAATTATTATATATATATATATATATATGTAATTGTATATGTATACATATAATATTGATATAAAAACTATAATTGTTACAACCAACTTCATTAGTCATTGATTGATATTCACGATTATGTTATCAATGATAAATTTTCTCTCAGTTGTAAAATTTTTTCCTGATTCGTTTTTAATGTCCCTATGCTATACACTATCTGGAGTGTGACACAGACATACAACTGAAATGTCATTGGATAGTTTACAAAAAAAAATAATTCAAGTGTGCATTGACGAGTATTTCCTATGTGTAAAACAAATTTTATTCAATGAAATGAAAACAGAAACACAAAATTAAAACTAACTTGAAGTGATTCTTACTTTTTAAACTTATCAATTGTAGGAATAAACAAATGTTATTTAGTATATCTCACATTCAGGCTATGCATATTTTTGCTTCATTTTATTCGGATGTAGTGAATTAGTGACAATTATTGAAAAAAAGTTGCTATGGACATAATAAACTTGTCAACAGAGTCAATAATGACTGCTTATTGTCAAAATTATAATTCATCTATTGAATAATAGATAAACATTTTTCAAAAATTTACAAACTGTACAATTTAATCAATAATTTACTCTAATCTCTCAAACAGTATTCAGAAACATGTGTGAATTATGCACTTCGAACTGTTAACCTATTGGTGCACACTAATAATCTATTTAGAATGAAGCGTATATTATTTCCGATAAATAAAAGATATGAATCTACAGGGATCATTGAATGTCAACTACTATAATAAACATTGTAAATATTATTACTGATCATTTGTACATTTCTAATTCTATTTAATTTAAAAAATTTGACATTTTTCTCTGCATGATCATTACTGAAATCAGTAACTAAAAGAATCCGTAAAAAAAAAATGAATTTTTATTGTTACGTGTCATATATTACCACTGTCTTTCAATTTCTTACATTAACTTATTTTAAACATGTGAATGGACAATACACTATGGAATATTTTATCACTGAAGAATGTCCAGTAAATACGTTAGTTGGAAATTTGAATAATATACCATATAATTCAATGAGTCAATCACATGCATCAAGTACTTTTCAACTGTTATCACATAATGTGAATTTTTATTTGAATGAATCTACAGGATTGTTATATACACGTGGTCGAATTGATCGTGAAACTATCTGCTCTGATAATAATGTACAAAATAGTAATTCCATGAGTAATCTTTTGCCTCATTCATCAGCTGATATTAGACTTAAAGAAACCGATCAACTTATAATAAATGAACAGAATTCTTTAAATACACTAGGATATATGACTAAGTCAAGTTGTGAAATATTATTACAAGCTTTACAATTTTTTCAGGATTCACATTCACGTGACAACAATGAACAACAACATCGAGTAATATTGATAAAAATTTATATATTCGATATTAATGACAATGCACCAGCATGGCAAGAGAATACTATACAAATCAGTGTCCCCGAGCATACTTCAATCGGTACCAGAATACCATTGCCAACAGCTAATGATCCAGATTGTGGACCTATTAATACCACTGTAAATTATTCACTACTTGATGAAAATGGAAAATTTCAGTCTTCCGTTATAAATTCAGAAAAAACATCTTTATTTCATAATGTTTTCCAATTAGATGTAGATCCTATCTCGAATCCTGATATGATACTAAACACTGTATGGAATTATCAGACAATGAATTGTAATCCAAGGATTTTTCGTTTATGGCTTCGTATTACACAAGATATCGATTGTGATGATGATGATGAGACTGAAGAAAGTGATAGTTTGACTGCATCGAAATTGTATCATTCGGAAAGTGTAAGATTAAAACAATTGAAATTAACTTTAATTGCTTCAGATGGTGGTCAACCAGTTAGTTTAACAGGTACAGTAACCATAAATATAACAATTACAGATATTAATGATCATGCACCTGAATTTGTCACGCCTGATCGTTATCACTCAAAAACTACAAGTGAATCATCATCAGTTCAATCATCAACTGTTTATTCAGAAAATGGAGAATTATATATACAGATTCCAGAAAATACTCCTGCTGGACGAGTTATCTATAAAGCACAAGCAGTAGATCGTGATGAATCGGATAAGAAAAGGCTTAAATACACACTAGGTACATCAGCTGGTCTAGATGTTAAGGATACATTTAGAATAGATCCAAAATCAGGTGAAGTAATCCTTTTACGTTCACCAGATTATGAGCAGCATAGACTCCACATTTTGCCAATTACCGTAACTGATGGTAAACACCTAATTACACAAAAGTTGACTGTACGAATTCAAAACATTAATGATCACCCTCCTATTATTTCAGTTCGTCCGGTTGTTAAACAGAAATCCACTAATTTTTCTTCAAGTTTGCCGATTCGTCCTGGAGTTCCAAACTTTATTAGTAGGACTGTTCTCCTATACGTGACCGAACATGAACCACCGGGTCAATTAATAGGAACTGTAACAGTGACTGATTCCGATGAAATAGCCGATCCCGTCCCTACCATATCAGATAGCTTGATTGAGACTAATGCCCCAGCCGTGAATTATCAATACCAGACAATCGATTCAGATGCGCATCTAAGCATTAACTGTCAGTTAAATCATAATGGTTTAGTATTGGAACCTTTATTTAAGGGTGCTAAAAATCAGTTTAAACTTCTTACCTATACAAGTTTTGACAGAGAACAACAAACAGATCAGTTTGCTACACTAACATGTTATGATTATGGTCAACCACCATTATCTTCACAGATTGGTTTACGTCTTATTATTGAAGATATCAATGATCATGGCCCACAGTTTAAACAAAGTAAAATGATTGCTCATATTAAAGAAAACAGTCCACCAGGAACAAAAATCTATAAAATCGATGCACATGATCCAGATATCGGTGCTAACGCTTTATTAGGTTTTCGTTTAGATGGACAACACACCGATGACTTTATGATTGATGCAAAAACAGGTACAGTAACCAGTTTAAGATCATTTGATCGAGAACAGATTGATCATTTCAATTTGTCTTTAGTTGTTTATGATCAGTCTGAATGGATTACACCAAATAATAACAATTATAATGATAATATTACACTGTCAACCGATATAACAACAACAACAACAACAAATACAGTTGAATTGTTCAATCGTAAAGCGCCGAAACAACATATTGTACATGGAAATCTTTATGTTTTTATTGATGATGTAAATGATTGTGTTCCTACATTTGATAATTCATTATATCAGTTAAGTGTATCGGAAGATGCGAAAATTAATCATTTAATTGGACAAATTGAAGCGAATGACAGTGATGCAACTGAAATTAATAATCAAGTAAGTTAATTAATTGATTCTTGAATAATAAATACTGGTACTAATAATATTTATATTTATTATAAAGTTTATTCAAGTTATTATTAAAATCATTTCAAATCCTTATTTAAAATAAAGTTGTCTGTCAAAAATTTAAATTAAAATATCTAGAAGAGACAGGTGCCATGTGATTAAATAAAAACAAAATACTAAAATGTCACTTGTTTATTTCAATAAATTTATTCATGTTTAATAATCTAGTTGATAATTTAAAATGTTAACTGTAATGTGACTAAAAAAACAATAAAAGAACATGAATCATAACAGTTTTAATTTGAATAGGATACATTAGTAATCTAGATAAATCTAGATAATCTTTTTTCATTATTGAGGAAGTTTACTCTATAGAAATTTTATAGAAAAATTATTTCATAACAGTTTAAGTAATCATATAACTTGGATGTAATATAATAAATATTAGTAAAGCTATACTAGACTATTGAGCTATTGGTAAACGTGTAATCTTAATAAATAGTTACGTTATGCTTTAGAACTGTAATGCCTTCACATACACTTGAGTTCACCCATATATAATTTGGTTAAGCCTTTCTATCAATTTCTTTAACCGAACCATTTGTATAACAATAACTTATATGTACCATTGGCTTTTATTGCTGTCTGATTTGTATGAGCTAGGACGACTGAACATTGCTTTACCGCCTACGCGCATATTCATCCTATTCTCTATTAAATATTTCGATGACTCAGACGTTCTACTATGTATAAATAAACATATTCAACACTTCGTTTTCATCTTCCAGTTTATAAACCGTCAGGCGCTATTTAGTAACGATTGTTTGGATGAGCAAATTACCAAGTCTAAGAACACGTTGAATACTGACCGTCACAAAACTAATGATACATTGGCCACCATAGAACAAAGGAAAGTATTTAAATTTAATTGTAATCTAAAGTACACATACACAGTTTATTTTTTATATACTTCAGCAAGTCTAACAAATAAGTTAACATATGAAGTAGTGGAATTTCATAAAGCTTTTAATTAAAATTCTATGAGGAGAGGAGTGAAATCCGACTTCCGATTTCACATCTATCAACATTATAGATATGAATCTTTACTTGTTGTCATTAAATTTATACAATTTTGAAAAATATTCGCTTTAATATTGTAATTTTTCACTAATATTCATCGTTGTAGAATTAATTATTAAAAAAATATCTGTAACATCAAATAATCAGTTCTTACTTTGAATATATAATCTGAGCATAATACTTTTGAAATTCTCCATACTTAGACTAATCACGTGAAACATCAAGTCAAACTATTGATTTCTGTTTGTCTGAACTGCTCAAGAAATTGAAATCGAAACCAAAATAGTTAGAATATTCTGAGTACAAAGAATAAAAGTTAAATTGAAGTTCCTAATAATTATACGAAGATATAATGTCACTATACACAAATATTAGTTGACTACTAAAGTGAATAATGAAGTGTGAAATGTTTTTCTGAAGCTTTCAATATAGTAACTTGCTGGTGATGAATAGTCTCATACTAAGGGCGAAATGGTTATCTAAGGCTTCCAAGTTTTGAATTATGATCTATCAATAATCGCAATCAAAATAAATTAACTTAAATTTATACACATTCTTATGATGTTTCGCAGCATTATTTTTAGACCCTTATATGTATTATTATGTAAGGAAAATATCAGTAAAATATAAGTACAGTGTGTTGCTTACCAAAGATTGACTAATAATACTAAAAAAATTCACCTGTCACTCTACCAAAGATGTCGTTTTATGACTGGTTGTTTTCACTGATCAAAGTTGATTAGTATATACTGAATTGAAAAAAAATGTAATAGCGAACATATCAGTATGAACGCATTCATAATGTATATCACGGAATAAATATTAATTTTTAGTTCTGTTAACACAATTTTCAATCGGTCTTTTATGAAACAGGTCAGTTCTGATTAGTTGTGAAACCTGGAACTAGTATTTTGTTCTATCTGTGACTCATCGACAGGATATTCTTGTGTCCTAGCAATGTCGTTAACATTGAAACTTGAAGACAATACGTTTCATTTAAAATTCACTGCTCATTATCAACCAAACAACTTAGTCCAAATAGTCTCCAACGTGTTCAAAGGATACGCTGTTTATTAGGGGGGAACGTTGGACTGTATTTCAATGACATATGTGCATCCTGCTTGACTTGCCTCCATATGGTCTTTCTGTTTATTTTAAGTAAATAAAAAAATAATCCCAAATTCACATTTATTATATGTGGTCAGGAAAAAAGATACTTTTATCTGTTGTATTACTAATCAATTTAGTTCAGTTACGATATAACACTTTATGAATGATAAAATAACCGATATAGAAATAATTCCTTACATCTTAACTTACGCTTGTTATCTTTAATGAAGCATAGGCTACCGACCATCATTCTCCAGCCTTAACCACCCTGGGCCATTTTTCCCTGTCAACCTGATTGTTGTTTATTCTTTACATGTCTTCTCCCGATCCTCTCTGTTCCTTGGTCTGCCTCTTTTCCTTTGGGCATGAGGATTCGAAGTTGGTGCTAGCTTTGTGAGTCATTTGGGTGCTTTCTGGAATGTGTGTCCTATCCATCTCCAGAGAATCTTCCTAATTTCTTTCTCGTCTGGAATCTGGTTTGTTCACTTCCATATTAGGTTGTTACGGATGACATTTGATCAATGGATCCTCAGTATCTTGCGTAGACGACTGTTAATCAACACCTGCATCTTTTGGATGATAGATTTGGTGATTCTCTAAGTTTATGCTCCATACAATAAAACTTTCTTGATATTCGCATTGAAGATTACGACGTTGATGTCATTTGACTCCATTTGGAGTCCTTCTAAGGCTACTGCCGGTTAATGCCTGTATAAAAGAAGGAGGATATACTTGGAGTAAGCAACCCAATCCCGGTAGGAAAACCAAACTTGCTAAAAAAATGCGAACCAAAACAAATAATTCAAACTTTGTATCTTAAAGAAACCTTAAATGAATGAATCACACGAAAAAGTTTCATCCACTTCATATTTAATTTGTACATATTTGTTACGCTCAACTAATAGATATGGTGCATATTAATCGCCATTTTTTGACATTCCTTTATGCTTAGTGAATATGTATATATATGTATATATAAATCTCGATGTGAAATTTAAATTTCTTTTCAATAATTAAGTATCGAACAAAAATAGAACGAACATATTTTTTCCAGTCATTTGAAGTTTATTTTTATTGTTAAACTGTTATTGTTTACTTATCAGCTCATCCAAAAACACACTAGTTTTTAAAGCATCATTATCTATTCATGGGAGAATATTCTAACTATTTGCTTTATATCTTCATTTCTTTTTTTCTATAGACTTTATTAAAATATTCTAATCATTTCATTTCAATCAAAGTAATGAAGGGAAAGTAGAAAATAAAAGTTGACTAATGAATAAGTTAGATTTTGTTTTTTAAAAAACAATTTATTTCATATTTATGTTTATGGTTTAATAATGGGGATCCTATGATATATATATATATATATATATATATATAACTGACCTTGTGGGACAAACTCGATCTTTAGCTTCATGTGGTGTCAGAGGGCGCCAGTCGATTGTATCAACTCAAGGCAGTTGGAGGCCAGACGGTTAGAAAGGGCTGCTGGGTGGCTCGATAATCCGTCTCAGGGTGCCAGGACTAGCTGGGTAAGCCCGCCTTGTCGCCCATGCCTATTGGGGATTGTGGGTTGTGAACTGGTTGGAGGGATAAAATTATTTCATAAGCACCCGGTTGGGCGTGACTGCTCGTATCCACGCTTATTGGATGTCCGACTTGCTTGCATGAGAATCTAGTCGATATGTACATACCCTCTTGGGCAAGGGGAAACGTGAGGTGGCTACATGCGTGGAACTTTGTGATGTGTAAAAAGCAGCTTGTATGTATCTGCTGCAGGTCAGTTGGTTAACCAAGAGTATATATCTGTATATTACTTACGCCTGTTACCCCCGATGTAGCATAGGCTGCCCGCCAGTGCTCTCCAAGCAACTCTACCCTGTGCTTCCCTTTCCAGTTCTGTCCAATGTTTGTTCATTCTTCTCATATCTTTCTCTATTTCTCGGCGTAATGTGTTCCTTGGCCTTCCTCTTTCCATTTTGCCTTGATGGTTCCATGTGAGGGCTTGTCTTGTGACGCAGTTGGGTGCTTTTTGTAATGTGTGTTCTATCCACTCCCACCGCTTCTTCCTGATTTCCTCCTCCAGTGGAATCTGGTTTGTTTTTTCCCACAGTACGTTGTTGCTGATCGTGTCTGGCCAACGAATCCCAAGTATTTTGCGAAGACAACTGTTAATAAACACTTGCATCTTCTGTATGATGGCCTTCGTAGTTCTCCAAGTTTCCGATCCATACAGTAGAACTGTCTTCACATTTGTAATGAAAATTCTGATTTCGGTTTTGGTTGAAAGTTGTCTGGAGTTCCAAATATATTTCAATTGTTAAATGCAGCCCTTGCTTTGCCGATCCTCGCCCTCTGCATCGGATCCACCTTGGCTGTCGATGATGCTGCCCAAATATGTAAAAGTGTTAACGTCCTCCAAGGCATATATATATATATATATATATATATATATATATATATTTATATATAAGTTCTACTATCGAAATGACTTTGTTTTAGTCTTCTCTCATTGTCTCATATTTATTGTCTATGTAAAAAGTTGAGTGTTAAATAAACGGAAATATTCATAGTTGTCAAAAAATTATTAACCTAAATAATGTATAAAAAAATGAAAATTTGACAGTAGATTTTTGTTAGTAAAAACGAAATAACAACAAACGGTTGTTAATTTTTAACCAAAATATCAATCATTCCCTTCGTTCGATATAATTAAGAGTGTCGAAAATATTATTACATCCGGGTTAATTTAATGGTTTCGCCCCAACTACTTACAGTTTATGTAAATTCTTTAA